CCTTATAGTTCAAACAATACACATGAAGCTAATACGTATTGCACCTCCATGCATTTCCCAGATCTTATTCTATACATTTACATATATGTATGTTATGAACTGAATGTTTGTGCCTCCTCCAAATTCATATGTTGAAATCCTAACCCCTAACGTGATACTATTTGGAGGTAGGGCCTTTGAGAGGTAATTAGGTAATGAGGATGGAGCCGTCATGAATGGGATTAGTGCTCTTATAAAGTCTCTGTCCTCTGCCATATGAGGATGCAATGAGAAGATGGCTGTCTACAAGCCAGGAAGCAGACCGTCACCAGATACCAGACCTGCCAGCACCTTGATCTTGGACTTCCCAGACTCCAGAACTGTGAGAAAAAATGTTTGTTGTTTAAGCCACCCAGTCTATGGTAATTTGTTATAGTAGCCTGAACTAAGTCAATGTAGAAATCTAATTTATCTACAACTTGCTTGTTCACCTTTATTATAGATCATTCCGTTTCAGTATGTACAGATCTACTTCATTCTTTCTGACTGCTGTGTAACATTCCATAGTACAAATGAACCATAACAGTCCCCCTCCCCCTTGTAATTAATTTTTTTGAACAGGTAATATTTGAATTGAGAAAATCCAAAATGTACAAGAGTATATCCCTCCTCTTCCTCTTCCTCAACAAGTCAGTGGGTCTGGCCTGGAGGCAATCAAGGTTAGCAGTTGCGGCAGAGTGGCTACATGCTCACCAATCCCATTTATTCTTCCTGAGCATATAGCAAGCCATGTCCCAGTTTCTTTGACTTAGGTTGGGGTCAGGCAACTGGGTCTGACCAATACAACATGGGAAGAAGTAACAGACAACTTCCAGTGTTGGCCAGCTTTCATGGTATTCTCTCTCTTTTAGCTAACCAGCTGGCTGAATGCAGAGGGTCCAGTGGAGGACTCCAAGGAGGCCCTAGAAGATGGTAGTGCTACTAGACGAAAGGACCCAAAATCTGATTCTCTGCTTGGAGAAGAAGGACCAGAGACATCTGCACTGGACTTTAGGTGTATGAGAAAGAAGCTTCTGGGTTAAACTAGCCAGATTGTTGAGTTGTTACTTCAGCTAGCATTAATTACACCAACACACATTTCTTATGTGTCCTAAGATGTTTCACGTAATATATACAAGCAATTACCAGTGCTCTATTTTGGACACATAGGTTGTTTCCAGTTTTTCCCTATTACAATAATGCTACAATAAACATCCTAATGAAGTAGGTTTTTAGAAATATTAAACCTTTAAGAGATGGTGTTTGAAACATAGCAGGCATCTAGGAACCTGCTCCACCTCAGTCAGGTATTTCCCACCTTTTACTCAATCCAGCTTGAGCTCATCAAGTTGGCATGGTGCCAGCCTGAAGCTACTCTCTGGCTCAGAATCCAGCTTGATGCTGAGACTCTACTTTCTGCATGGATTGATTTCTTTTCCTACAATAACCTTTGCACCTACCTCTTTCTTACAGGCTCCGAGCGCCTGTCTCCTTGGACATTCATTTTCTGGGTTTGCCAAGACGTCAGCTTCTCCCCAGGCTCCAGACTCCTAACTTGTGCATGTCTCCTCTACTCTCACACTCCATCTACTTAATCAACACCGTGCCTGAATATGTACCTGTGCATGGCACTATTTCAGGCACAAGTATGTGAGGTATGGGTGTTGTCCCCTCTTACAAGTGACATTACACTACATGCAACATTGATAAGGGATGGATGGGAGAACAGATTCTAGCAGTCTATAGTTGGTCCTAGCATTGACATGAAACTGCTGAGAAAATCAGCTTACTACAGAGACACAAAATTGTGCTTTTCTTTATATTCAGGTTTCTCACATAGGGTACACATTCAAAAACTCTCTTTTATTAAAGGAGCCTAAAAAACTTGAATCATTACAGCTGTAATTTCCACTTCAAGGGATCGCTAGTCTTGAAATCAGGCCTTTTTCCTCTACCCTGCAGGTGATCAAAGCAAAGCACAATGCAGCTAAACTGCTTGACAGCAACAAAGAAAGAAGGGGAAGCATGAATTTACTTTCCCTCCTGGTTTTTCAGTCCAGACAGTGATTCTCAACTTTTGGGTTTACACACTACGGATGCTGTCTACACGTGGCTCATACTCTTTGGGCCTACTCGGAAGTTTGCTTTCAGAGTGTCCTAGTACATGAGGACCGCCTGTGTCTCTTCCCTGAGTGCATTCTCTGACTTGAAGAGCATGCTTTTCCTAGCACTGAGCTGGGAAGAAGTGCAGGGGCATTAACATCCTAAAGAGGGAAAGGAGTTGGTGGGTAAACACCTCAGCTTCCTTGGTCTTAGTGGGACAACTCTGAGGAGTGTTCCAGTTTCTCAGATGGTTCATGGCAGGACTGAGCCCACAGAGTAACCCCTCATCAATACACCCTTTAATGACTTTCCTTCCTTTCCTGTCTCACTTCTCCACTCCTTTAGAGTGCCTCTTGGGGTCACCTCGTAAATAAATGATTTGCATCCAAATCCTGGTTTCAGAGCCTGATTTTGGGAGAAACCCAAACTAAGACAAGGACTCCTTTTAAAATGTGAGGAAAAACAAAGTCCCTCTCCCCAGGAAAATATGTCATACTTTCAGGAAACCTAGGTAGGATTTGGTGAAATTTTGATATTAGGGCGAGGGTTCCAGAATCACCCTAACTTCCCTTTTCCCTTCAACTCCCAGAAGATTACTGAGGGAGCCATATACAAGGACCAGCAGCCTAATAGGAATGAAAGTATCACTTTATTAATAGCGTCAAAAGGGCCCAAAATGTCTTTTACCTGTTTAAAATCTCTGCATGGCGGGCTCCCTCTCAGTTTTCTCACAGAGGTCTTCTCCAAACTCCCTAATTATTCTATCACAGTATAATGGCCTTTTCCTGCACGATGCTTTGTAACATAATTACCTACCTATGTACTGGCTTAGTTGTTTACTGCTTCTCTACTAGACCATATGCTCCATGAAAACAGGAACTAAGTTTCTTTGTTTTCTACTGTATACCCAGTGTTTATGACAGAGCTCTTGCATGGAAGATGCTGCATACGCTGAGAAAGAGGTTGAGGTTTGGCCTTCTGGCCTTAAACAGCCACCAACTCCCTGCTCATTAAAAACATGTAATCTTAACCTCTATCAGGCCACACGGAGAAAGTCCAGGACATGGGGGAAAAAATGACCAGATCCGCAGAGCAGGTTCTGGCTCAACTAAAACATCAAGCTATACACGTGGAGGAAGTAGAAGAGAACTCATTAACGCGTGTATAGTGACCCTGTCCACCAGGGGTCAATTAACATCTTGAATTTTCACTATTAGGTTAGTAGCTCCTTTTCACTGGGGAAAAGAAAGAGAGGAAGGAGGAAGGAGGCCAAAATCTCTCCCTGAAGTATATACTATTCTGCATATAATTTCAAGGGAGTTAAAAAAAAAACCAAAAAACCCACAAACCTTCTGAAGTCTGTCTATGATCCACAGACACCAACAATCCCGGATTAAGAATCTCTGTTTATGGATCTTTCTATTGGTACAAATCTTGAGATCTCTAATCTTTACCATCATTTTTAGTTCCTCTCTGATATTTTTGATCCCCATCCCTCTTCTCCCTGCAAAAAGAAAAAGAAAGGCAACACATGGCAGTAAAGAAGGTGTCAGTAGTAATGGCTGAAACCAATTCCTACAGCAAGGCCTGTGCTATGTTTTCAAACTTGGGCACCTTTGCTACGACTAGGAATATTCTATTCTCTCAATTTCCACCTGCTGAAATTATGTTAACTTTGCAGGTCTGGTACAAATGCTATCTCCTCCACGAAACGTTCTTCAATGGCACCAACCAGGTGGAAATCTGCTAATAGCTCCATTCCTGCAGCTCCTAGTTCACTGCTTTGGTTTCGTGGTCAGTGGACCTCCTACAGCAGAGTTCAGCACAGGGCTTCCAGTGCCTGGCAAGGCCTCGGTGAAGATCTCTTCCTTAATGACTACTATTGGTCTGAAAGACGTTCAACTGAGAACAGTTTTGCACCTAGCCCAATCCAGGTTGATCCTTTTTTCCATTTTACCAAGTGCGTTCAATTTTCACCTCATTAATTTCCCCAATGGACCTAAGTGGTCAACCTGAGAAAACTGAACTTCAGTGAGATCACATAAAAGTCTAGGCCGTTTAAACGACCCCCAGCCCACTGGGCCAAATCTCACTTGTGTAACGGCTCACGCCGCATCAGGGGAAAAAGCCCAACCTTTCCCCAAGACAGATGCTCATTTGAGCTCCAGACCCAAAGTTGACACTGGACAGAACTCCGTCCCTGCCCAATAAGGTTACAGAGAAGGCCCCGACGTGCGCTGCAGAGAGAACTTCCGCCTTGAAAAAAGTGTCGTCATGGGGCAAGCTTCCGGTAGCACTCCGTCCCCTAGCTCAAGGCCTTTGACCCTAGTTGGCAGTTGTCCACTCCCCAAGGCTACCGCACCCAGCTTCTCCTTCGGCCTTCTCCACACCCTGCGAAGCCGCTGGCACGTCTCGAGGGTGTGACGGTTACGCCGCGAGAAAGCGACAAAGCGAGCGTGCACCGCCAATCTTCCAAGACGAGAGCCCTGGCATGCAGAAGCACGCTGAGAGCCTGGAGGCGGGACTAACTTCTGACTGACGTCCACACACACCCATTGCCTTTCGGATTCCTTCTCAAACAAACCAATGAATGCGACGACAGAGACGGCAACGTGCCCCCGCCGCAAGAAGTGGCTCCGCCTCCTCCGCTCGGCCACCCTTTGGTCGCCATGCTTAGTGTGGCTACCGCCTCTCTGCTACTTTAGGCTTTTCTCTGGCTTTGTGCTGCCCTCGCTGAACTCCTTCCTAAGCGTTTCTTCCCTTCCACTGTCAACTTCCACCTTCTCGGGCTTCTTGCTTGCTCGCTGCTAATCCAGCCACACTTGACATGGCGGCCGAGGCGGGGCCGAGGCGGGGCGTGCCCGGCGCGGTTACGTCAGCGCGCTGCGTGTCGGCAGGTGGAGGGAGAAGGGAAAGTTTGGCCCGTGCGTGGGGCTGGGGTGGAGGGCGGGACGGAGGGGTTGGGCCGAGGCGAAGCTGCTGTCGCTGCTGCAGCGGAGGCCGAGGCCGGGACCCGAGCCGGGCCGGGGAGTGCCGGACGCGGAGGAGCAGGAGGCGAGGTGCGCCGGAGCTTCGAGACCCCGCTGCTCTGCCGCGCGGTGACCCCGTGCCCAGGCGCCGTCCGACCCGTGGCTGTTCCCGAGGCGGTTGTTGGGGGCGCGGCGGCAGCGGTTGGGGGTGGGGAGAGGCGCGGCGAGGAGACGAGAGAGGTCAGCGAGTTTGAGGGAGGACCGGGAGCCGCGCCGCCGTCATGTCCGAGGACTCGAGCGCCCTGCCCTGGTCCATCAACAGGGACGATTACGAGCTGCAGGAGGTGATCGGTGAGAGCTGGCGCCGCTGAGGGGGGAGGTGCCGCGCTGGGCGGCGGGTGACACGCGGGAACATCGGGACCCGGGGGAGCTTCGGGAGCGCAAGACCCACAGATATTCATGGGCACTCGTGCGCCTGGGGGTGTGGAGGGCGCGTGGGTGAGGCTCCGGGTTTGTGCAGCGCGTGCGAGGCGGGGAGGGGATTTGGAGTGGCGCGCTGTGAGGCGGGGTGGGGTGGGGTTTGAGGGGCTCATGAGAGATTTGTGTAGTGACAGATGTTTGAACCTGAGCAACAGATGTATCTGGGAGAGGAAGAAAAGTGACGGCGTGGGGCAGGCCTTTACGAGGCTGTGCGAGAAATGGGATATTGGAGTTGTGGGCACATCCACCTATTTGAGGGATTGTGGGATAGGGTTCTTTAGTTCATTCCCGCATCCGTGCAGAAACGCTTGAGTGCCCACGAAGTACCACACAGGCTGGGGTGGAGTTGGGGATCCTCTCTAGATGAAGCTGCAGGTACCGCTCTGAGCGACGTAGACACAACTTCTGACTGCTTGGAACTGACTTTCTAGTCTGGGAGTTAGGCATTAAATAAGTAGACAAATGAAAAGAATTACAGGTTTTGGCAAGTGCTAGGAAGGAAGTAAACAAGATGTTCTGATAGAGAATAACCTGGAGACCCAGTTAGGGTGATTTCAAGGAAAATTCTTTGTCTGAGGCATCAATATTTAAGTTGAGCACTGAAGGATGAGAGAGAGTCTTAAGAGCCTAGGGAAGATTTTTCCCTACTGAGGGAAGAGGAAATGCAAAGGCCCTGAGGAGGAAAAGAGCTTAAAGTGTTTAGGACCTAAAGGAAGACTGGTAAGGATGGAAAGGTAAGGGAGGGGCCAGATTTTAGGGATCTTCTCAGCCCTGGGAGGATTTTGAAATTTTATTTTGAATGTTATTGGAGGGCTTCAAGCAGGGACATGACATGATCCGATGCATCTGGCTGCTGTGTGTGGCATGGATTTTAAGGGGGTCCAGGAATACCAGTTGGCAGAGACCAAAACTTGCACAAACATGAATTGTAATTCTCTGAGAGGCACAGTGACTGGGGGAGGGTGGGGAATGGGGATGAGGGCAGTATTTGTTGGATAACAATAATCCAGTGACTTGAGAAATCAAAGGGGGGTGGGTTTAGCTAAACAGAAGCTCAATCCAACTGACATGAGCAGACCCCTGTGTATTGGAGAAAGGACATTGTCTACTTTGCTAGATCAGCATCCTGTCCTAAAATTAGTTTTATAACAAAGACTGGCTGAAAACTCCTTAGCTGCCCTTGGGGTGTGAGTCTTTATTGCACTGTGTCTGTTTTAGAGAAACCTTGTCATATTTCTTTTTTTCACTTTACTTCCCTCTTGTTTCCAAACAAATCTGGGCTGAGTTTTATCTGAAAGACATCACATCTTCTTTTTCCTTAAGCCACTTCATGGGCCCGTGTCTTTGCTACATGCTGCGTCTTTGACATGTACTGGTTGGTTTTAAAGACAACTAGCTAGGTCTCTTGTCTTGATTGATAGCTTCTGGGTCCCTCAATCAGAGTTTTATACTGAAGAAAGGGATTAAGTGAGAGATTCCATATTGATATGTGAAAAGTAAAGAAAGGGGGTCCCTATCATTGTTTCAGAAGAGGAATTTTGCTTTCCTGGTAAGGTGTTCATCTTTCTAGGGTGAAGAGGATGATCATGGGCATTCTTAGTGCCTTTGCTAGTACGATGGCATAGGGCTCTGGAGATTTAGAGACTTATTAAGTTGGTGTCCTCAGACCCATAGGGTGTCTGTGCATGGGCAAAAGGGAGTCTCAGTCCTCTGGGATAGGGTTAGTCTTCATCTCATTTTCAAAGTGGTTCGTGGATAAAAGGTTAAGAACTCCAGTGTGATTTGACCACTGTATTTTTTAAAATAACTTTACTGAGGTATAATTTAATACCATGAAATTACCCATTTTTAAGTATAAAATTCAGTGATTTTTAGTAAATTTACTGTATTGTGCATCAATCAGCATAATCCAGTTTTAGAATATTTTGATCTTCCCAATGAGATCCCTTGTGCCTATTTACAGTTAATCTCTGTTCCCACCCCCAGCCCTAGACAACCACAAATCTACTTTCTGTCTCTATAGATTTGCCTTTTCTGGACATTTTGTATAAATGGGATCATATAACGTGGTCTTTTGTGTTTGGCTTCTTTCACTTAGCATAATTTTTTTCATTTTTAAAACAATTTTATTGAGGTATAATTTATATACCATAAAATCCACCTGTTTTAAGTGTACAATTCTATAGTTTTTTAGTAAATTTACAGAGTTGTTCTATCATCACCATGATCCAATTTTAGAACATTTCCATCATTCCAGAAAGATGCCTCATGTCCATTTGTAGTCACTCCCTGTTTCCACCCCCTGCCGCAGGCAACCACAAATCTACTTTCTGTCTCTATAGATTTGCCTTTTCTGGACATTTCATGTAAATATAACCATGTAATATGTGATCCTTTGTGTTTGGTTTCTTTTACTTGACATAATGTTTTTTGAGGTTTATCCATGTTGTAGCCTGTTTTATTCCTTTTTATTGGCTACCACTTGATGGATATTGTGTTGTTTCTGCTTTTTGGCTATTTGGAATAATGCTACTATGAGCATTCACATCAGATCTTCATGTGAACATGTTTCATTTTTCTTGAGTGGAATTGGTGGGTCGGGTCATATGGCAAATTTATGTTTATCTTTTTAAGAAACTGACAAACTTTTAAAAAATGACTGTACTATTTTACATTCCCATCAGCGATGCATGAGGGTTCCTATTTCTCTATATCCTTGCCAGCATTTGTTGTCTGTCTTTTTGATTATAGCCATCCTAGTGGGTGTGAAGAAGTATCTCATTGTGGTTTTGTTTTGCATTTCCCTAATGACTAATGATGGTGAGCATCTTTTCATGTGCTTATTTATCAGCTTTTCATATATCTTCTTTGGTGAAATGTCTATTCAAATCTTTTGCCCATTTGGGTTGCCCACTGGGTTGTTTTCTTATTGAGTTATAGTGGTGTGTCTTTATGTATTCATTCTGGATATGAGTCCTTTACCTGATATATGATTTCAAATATTTTCTCCCAGTCTGTAGCTTGTCTTTTCATTTTCTTAATGGTGTCTTTTAAAGCGCAAAAGTTTTGAATTTTGATAGAGTTTAATTTATCACTTTGTTTTATTAACTGTGCTTTTGGTGTTGTATCTAAGAAGTCTTTACTAACCCAATGTCATAGAGTTTTTTCCTTTGTTTTCTTCCAGGTGTTATAGTTTTAGCTTTTCCATTTAGGCTTCTGATACATTTTGAGTTAATTTTTCTGTATGGAGTGAGGTAAGGTGAACCATCTTGTTTTACAGATGAAGATATTGAGATGTAGAAAGGTAAAATGACTCGTCTAAAGTTATAGAGCTAATTAGTGGCAGAGCCAAAACTGGCGTCCAGTTCTCCTGTTGCCTAATTCAGGATCCTTATTCTTGCATCTGCATTTGATTGGTTTTTGGATATAAACTGGAAGATGGTGGTCATAGTCCTACAGATTAAGGGAAATATCCTTACAATGAAAAAATCTGATAGGAGCAGATATTTTGTAGATAACCCTTTTGGAAGTAGTAGGATTTGTTCTTTATTGTGTATCCTATTTTGTGTTTTTTTAAGGTTCTCCCTCTCATTAGTAAGTTCCTGAAAGTTCCTAATATCCTTCCGTCCCATTCCTCACACTCTCTCTCACCCCATCTTCCCAACAGGGAGAAAAAAAAGTTTTTCCTTGAACTATAGCCTAGTATAAGTAGCAAGGCTCAATAAAGCAGTGTATTCTTACTCTAACTTTGCCTCCATACCGAAATGTTTGGAATATAGTATTTTGTAATAAGCTGCAGTCTTCAAAATGAATCTGGGTGATTTCTTCAGATTACTCTCGATTTTTTCAGGAAACAGATGATTGGAGTCCAGAAAAAAAGGTTTAGGGGATCATTTGAATTTTCTGTTTTCAAAGGATTATATTTTAAGGAAACAATATAATGGTGTCTCCTTTCTCATCAAAGCACATACATTTGTTTGAACTGTAATTTTTTTCACATGTGCTACCTGACACTACAGCATGTACCGCATAACAATGTTTTGGTCAACGACAGACCTCATTTATGACAGTGGTCCCATAAGATTACTGTCATATAGCCTGGGAGTGTAGTATGCTATCCCATATAGGTTTGTGTAAGTATACTTTGTGATGTTCACACAACGACGAAATCAACTAACGACGCATGTCTCAGAACGTATCCCCATCATTAAGTGACCCATGACTGTATAATATTTGTGGGGTTAGTTTCTTATGTTCTGTTTTGTTCCCTCTCTTTCTGGCAAAATCCTATAGAGAAAAGAAAACTCTCTTCCTAGAACATGATAAAAACATACAGATTAGGAATTCAAAGGACTTCCTTTTAAAGAATTGTATCATCTTTTTTTTTTTTTCCCTGAGTCTGTCAATTCTGAGTCAGGAGCCTCCGTTAATTTCTTCTTTTTTTTGGTGAGGAAGACCGGCCCTGAGCTAACATCTATAGCCAATCCTCCTCCTTTTTTTTTTTCCCCTTTTTCTCCCCAAAGCCCCAGTAGATAGTTGTATGTCATAGTTGCACATCCGTCTAGTTGCTGTATGTGGGATGCCGCCTCAGCATGGCCAGAGAAGCGGTGCATCGGTGTGCGCCTGGGATCCGAACTCGGGCCACCCGTAGCAGAGCACACATACTTAACCGCTAAGCTACTGGGCAGGCCCAGAATTGTATCATCTTAAGCATGCTTTGATTTGAAGTTCTTTAAGTATGATTACTTAAAAAAAGATGTTAGTCTTATTCTGACTATTAATCATTCATCTTTTCAGTGTTTTGGGGCTCCTTCCTCACCCCTATTATTGTATTAGAATTTCTGACCAGATGTTGTATTTGATATGTGTTG